CCGTACAGTAGTAGTAGTAGGCAAGCCGGGCAGTGTGAGTCATCATGCCATGGTGGTATGATCTGGTAAGCATATTGCAAACTCATTAAGTGCAGTTTCGAATGTGGCCTTTTCGCGAAAATTGATAATTACATATGCCTAGGCTAGGCTAGTATTAACATTGTTGTAGATAAACTGCCAGTCATTTTTATTACTGCGTGTATAACTACCAGCATACATATCCTTTAGTGAAAAAAAACAACACTATGGTAGCAGGTCAAAATGGCAATAAACCAAAACAGCAATGACTAAAATGGCAATAACCAAAACAGCAATAGACCAAAATGGCAATGATAAGAGTACTGTTCCAAAATGGCAACAGACCAAAACGGCAATGACAAATACCAAAACGACAATATTCAAAGGAGCAAAATCAATACCAAGCAAGAGCAAGCACCGCCAGACGTGGGACGAATTGTTTAGATGTCTCATTTTGTCATTTTAAAGTTTTATTTATTTTGATGTTTATTGCTTATATTGTGTTTAATACCCTAATCCTATTATTATTGAATTTGTATGTTGTTATAATGTTAGGCCTATTATTATTATTGTTATTATTATTATTATTATTATTATTATTATTATTGTTATGGTTATTATTATTATTATCATTATTATTATTGTTAAAAATTTGATTACTATTATTATTATTAATATTAATATTATTAAATTTTTTCCCCCGCATTTTTTTACTTTTATGGCTTTTAATTTTTTTCTTTCTGTCTTTATTTTTAATTTTCATGCGTTCTCTTTTCTGTTTTCTTCCTTAGCACATTGAGAGTAGCATAATGTGCCTTATAAGATAAGTCAAAGATTGGATTTGATATGCCACTGCCAGTGAATATGAAGTTAATAATAATGCAAGCTCAATGGGTTTTCGTTGGAGTAACTTCTGTCTAGTTCATTTATTAACAATTTCTTCTACTTTCAGCCTATATTGTATTCCTACTTCAGAAGCTCATGTTCATGGAGGGTTCGAATTGGTATGTTTGTTTTAATTATGCCAAAAATAGAATAAAATAGTTAAAAATTTAAGAACAGTAAACAGTAACTGCTGATATCCTAAAGGGAATGGACTACTTGCACAGTGGAAGTTTTTTGAGATTGATAGAGAATCAAAAACCAGAGGACATACTGGTACATTAAAAATTCGCAAGCATAACTTCCGTAAATATGCATTTTCTCTTCGCTCACTTAATGAATGTAACGCATTGTCTGAGGATGTAGTTTCTGCAGAAAGTATTAATTTGTGTTAAATCCTCTTTACTTACTTTACTTTTGGTGTTGGGCTTCAAGCTATTGCTTATATGCCCCTCTCTGTACTCCCTGCCATGATCTCATATAAGGGTTGAACTTCAGTGAGTGGGATAACCAATGTTTCTTTAGTTCCGATTATATTTGGATGACGTTTTTACTGCCGTTTCTGGTAAGTTATTCCGATCATTTATTGCTGCTCTGCCTTAATTTAGAATTAGCTTTAGTTAGTTTTTTAATTTTTAAAGAATGACCTCTGGTTCGGGATGCAGTATCCAATATAAACAAATCTGCAGTTCTGAGATTGTCTATTCCTTTTTAAGATTTAAAAAATCTCAATACATCGGCTTGTTTCCTTCTATACGCTAGTGTTGGAAGATTGAGGCTAATTAGGTGTTCCGGTTAACTGAGACTTTTTAAGTCCAGGTAGAAGTTGAGTAGCTCTCTGCCGAACTTTCTCGAGTGCATCTGCATCTTTCTTGTATGAAGGACACTAAATTAAGTTTCCATACTCCAAGGATGTTTTCTGGATGACCTTAAATTTTCCTTCATTAAAGGGTAGTTGCGATTTTTGTAGACCCCAGTTCACTACAGCCTCTAAATCTTTTTGTAAAGAATTTGTATCATCTTGGTTGTTGACAGTTTTGTAAAATTTAATATCGTCAGCAAAAAGTTTAAGCTGGGACAAATGGCCGCAGAAATCACTCATTGCATTTTATTTATACGGCAATATGACCTGACCTAATAATAGCTCTAATAATGAGTATAAGCTCTTATGTTTCTACAATCAACAAGTAAGGCCAGGAGGAAAACTAAAATTTTGTGAGTGTTCGCTGCAAAAAGGCCTGTAATCAGGTTTATGGTTTGGATAAACACTCACCCCTTCCCCTGTCTCTTATACACATCTCGGCCTCTCTGCTCTCCGTAACCCTCCTGATAAACCAAACCAGCCCCTCACCTTGCATCAAAAGCCATGATGATGAAATCCACCATATACAATCATGCTGCAGCTCAAATGCTTCAGCTAGTGCATCCCCCCCCACCCTATAAAAGCTCTTCCCCATGAACATTCTGGCCATAAAGAGGGACAAAATTGAAATACAAGAAAGTATGAAAGCATATCTATGCCTATGACTGCACAATTATTTGGATGTTAACTTATTTTATTAATAATTTACTTTTAATTTTAATTTACTACAGTATTATGTTTGTTCTCAGTTAAATAAAAAGGTGGGGGATCAAGCACCACGCCCTCTACCCCTAATCATTGGACCCACAAATGCAATCCTCCTCAGCTTCATGTGGAGTATTCGCAGTAACCTCTTGTAGTACATCACATCACATAGACCAATTGCATTCACACATTCACATTGCAGTACCCATTTTTACTGCTTTATTTATTTATTTATTACGGTATAAAATTGCACAACAAGCAGCCAGGCAGCTGAAACTTTGAGCTTACAAACATCAAAAAGATGAAACAAACAAGATAAACAAGAGATTAAAAATACCATCAGCAAAAATATATAAATGTATATATAATAATAATAATAACAATAACAATAATAATAATAATAATAACAATAATAATAACAACAACAATAGTAATAACAACAATAATGGAGAGAGACGAACAGACAAAGGACACAAGCTACTCTCTAATTTACACAGGGAGGGGTCGATCCCCAGCTTGGATGGATTGATTGCATGATACTATAAGATAATCTTCAAGAGTTATGCAAGTATTATTTTTGTTTGGTATGCTTTAATAGAAAGTTGTTTTTTTTTTGGCTATAATTTTCAGCTCTTGCACTCAAGAAGGTTGACTATGAATATAGAGCGGTTAACCTACTTAAAGGAGAACAGGTAAGACTCTTAACCTGAGTAACAGGGCAGGGGTATAGCTAACTACTGTCAGCCGTAACATTGGCACTGTTTCAATCCTTTTTGCTCAGGGTTTAATTTAAAGTAGAGTCAAGTCTTCTCTACTTGAAAGACTTACAAACAGAGGTCCAGCGTACACATCTGGCGAGTATACACTTTAAAGTGCCCATTATAATTTTTGGAAAAGTGGGAGGGGGTGGCTAGGCCAACTCTGGTTATTTTAGTCTCATGTAATTTACATAATAAAGTGAACATGATGC